ACTCTCGTCGCCGTGCTCTAATCGCCACCTCCTCGGCTGGTTCCGGTTTTGCTTTGGCATGTCCTGGCTCTGCATATACTCCAGGACAATGCGCGTGGTGTTCATAGTGCTCATAATTGCCGCGGTGATCTGAGCGGGCTCCATGATCCCAGTGCTAGCTATGGCGCCTGGTCTGAAAAAAGGCGCGAAAGTAGTATCTGACGGACCAGGGGAAGAAGGGAGGGAGGGAGGGAGGGGCGAGTGACGACATGGCGTACAGGTACAGGGAATTAAAATCAAGAAAAGTGGCTTTGCATCAGGGAGAAACACAAACAACTGTCACACAGAATGACCCCCCTCAAAGATTGAACTCAAAAGCCTGGGTTTAGCAGGAGGGAGGGGGGAAGCAAATGAATACAGAATAAACCTATTTTTTACATCTTAAGACGACAGTGCAGCATGACTGATAGCCCTTGGCATTTTCTGGGTGCTTGGCAGCAAATACTGGGCGCTTGGCAGTTAGCCTTCAGGTCTATTGCACCATCTGATACCCACTGCAGTATGACAACGATGGATACCAGTCGTAATATACTATCTTCTGCCCAAAAGGCAAGGGGTTGCTGCTGTGTAGCAATCTAGCCCCACGTCTGCCAGCCCCATGTCTGCCAGCACCCAGATCGCCCTCGGCCTCTTCTGGGTGCTTAGCAGAAAACTGGGTGCTTGGCAGAAAATAGCATACTACGACTGATAACCATCATTGTCTGCCCAGGTGCCCATGATCGACAGCCACTGCTGTACGACGAGGACGGTTACCAGTCGTAATATACTATCTACTGCCCAAAAGGCAAGGGGTTGCTGCTGTGTAGCAATGTTGCCCCATCCTACGCATACTACAACTGATAACCATCATCATCAAGGCAAGGGGGCTGGTGCAATGCAGCCCCACGGCTGCCGGCACCCAGATCGCCAATGAAGGCTACCAGTCATGCTGCACCGTCTACCGCCAAAAGGCAGTTAGCTGCTGCTGCTGTGTAGCAATGCAGTCCCACATCTGCCGGCACCCAGATGACATATGGTGACGGTGAGCTGAGCTGAGCGGGCTCCATGCTTGCCGTGGTATGTTGTCTGCACAGGTAACCCAGGTAAAAAGGCGCGAATCTATTGTCTGCAGTTGCTGTGACGGAGGGGGAGGGGCCTGACGACATGTACCCATAACCCCCCGCGGCACTGTTTTGCATCATCCGGGCATTGGGATCTCAACCCAGAATTCCAATGGGCGGCGGAGACTGCGGGAACTGTGGGATAGCTACCATAGTGCAATGCGCCGGAAGTCGACGCTAGCCTCGGTACTGTGGATGCGGTCCGCCGAACTAATGCACTTAGAGCATTTTATGTGGGGACACACACAATCGGCTGTATAAAACCGATTTCTATAAAACCGGCTTCTATTAATTCGACCTAATTTCGTAGTGTAGACATACCCTGAGTTACTAGCAAGGGGCGTGGTTCTGAGGGGGAGGGGCTACCCCATGGGGCGTGGCCAAATGGGGGCGGGGCTCTGGCAGCAGGCACCCGAGGGGTGTGTCCGTGCAACAGGGCCGGGCCAAGGCTCGGAAGCGGGAGCTCTGAGAGTTTCTAGTCTCCTTCCGGTCCCCCGACCATCACTTCCGGTGCGAGGGGGGACAGTGGGTTGGGGGCGGAAGTGAAGTTAGTTAAGGAGGTTGCGGGGCGGAAGTGACGCGGGCGGCGTTCCCACGCGGCGGGCTGGGGGGATGCGGCTGCTGAGCTGGAACGTGGCCGGGCTCTGGGCCGGGCCGGGCCCCGCGGGGCTCGGGGCGCTGGGCGGGGACGTGATCTGCCTGCAGGAGACCCGCGTCACGCGTGAGCGGGGTCAGGTGTCACAGAGATGGGGTCAGGGGTCACAGGGGCGGAGCAGGATCAGGGGTCAGAGGGCAGGGCTTGGGGCGGGAGGTCCAGTGGGGAAAGGGTCAAAGGGCAGGGGTCACAGGGCATGGCTGGGGAAGTAGTGATGATGGGGGGTCAGAGGTCAATGAGCTGCGGGGGGGGGGTTAGAGCAGGGCCAGCGATGGGGGGGGTCAGGGATCAAAGGGCCCCACGGGCCCCACCTGCCCCCAGAGCGATGGGGGAGGGGGGCAGAGCCCAGCCTGACCCCGCGGTGACCCCCTGTCCCCAGGGGACCTGCTGGAGGAGCCGTTGGCCATGGTGGACGGCTACAACTCCTACTTCAGCTTCTGCCGCACCCGGGGCGGCTACTCAGGTAACGGGGGCGGCTCGGGACCCAGGCGTCCGGGCTCCCGACTGCTCCAACCACCAGCCCCCCACTCCCCTCCCAGAGCTGGGGCTGGCACCCCACTCCTTGGTTCTCTCTCTCCCCCCAACCAGGTGTGGCGACCTTCTGTAAGGACAGTGCCACCCCGCTGGCGGCGGAGGAGGGGCTCTCGGGGCTCCTGGCCCGGGGAGGGCGGCGCCGTGGGCTGTTACGGAGACCTAGGGGCCTTCACGCCCCAGGAGCTGAAGGTGCTGGACAGCGAGGGGTGCGCGGTGATCACCCACCACCGCATACGGTGAGGGGCGCGGGGGGGGGGGCCTTGTGGCCTTGTCCCCAAGGATCGTGGGGCGAGGAGCCGTGGGCCAGGTGCCCACAGAGTGCTGGGTTGGGGGGCAGGGAGCCAGGTGTGGGGGGATGGTTGTTGGCAAGTGCTGGGGGGGGGCAGATGCCAGCCTGACACACACACACCCCCAATGTGTTTTCTGCCTTCTCCCCCCACAGGACGTTGGCAGAGCAGGAGACCACCCTGACGGTGATCAATGTGTACTGCCCTCGGGCCGACCCCCAGCGCCCCGAGCGCGCCGCCTACCAGGCATCCTTCTACCGGCTGCTGCAGGGCCGGGCCGAGGCACTGCTGAGAGACGGCGGTTAATACTTATTTCCCTTTTTAGCTCAACCTTAAATAAGTCACATGAGAAATTCTTCAAACAAGATGGTGTTGCAGATTTTTGATGTTCTTAGATCCTCCGACCACATTGTGAAAAGCTCAAAATGAGTCTTGAATTTGCATCTTCCACATGACAGTACAGTACAGTCTGATTTCTGTGTTGAGTCACCGATCAGGCCAAGTTAAATACACTTTATTGTATATTGTTATGTAAGGCTGTCAATCCATGCTTTTGGTTCTTTTGACCCTATCAATGATGTAACCCAGGGGTAGGCAACCTATGGCATGCGTGCCGAAGGCGGCACACAAGCTGATTTTCAGTGGCACTCACGCTGCCCGGGTCCTGGCCACCAGTCTGGGGGGTTCCGCATTTTAATTTAATTTTAAATTAAGCTTCTTAAACATTTTAAAAACCTTATTTACTTTACATACAACAATAGTTTAGTTATTTATTATAGACTTATAGAAAGAGACCTTCTAAAAACGTTAAAATGTATTACTGGCACGCGAAACCTTAAATTAGAGTGAATAAATGAAGACTCGGCACACCGCTTCTGAAAGGTTGTCGACCCCTTATGTAACCCCACATCACTGTTGACCTTTCCTTTTTTTCCCTATCATCCATTGTCTGCTTCCCAAGATAAGTCATGCTATATTTTGGTTGGACTGAAACAAATACTGGTTTACATTTTTCAGAATGTATGCTTGTAAATGGGTATTTTTCTGTCAATATTTTTTGTGTGCAACCCCAAAATAAATTAGGCAGAATTAGAGGATTTTCAGCCTTTCCTTCTCCACACTTGCAAAAATGAAACATACATCATGCTTCTAAAATGGTGTAAAAGCAAATCTGAAAACAGTATCTCAATAAGAACAAGCTTTATATTCACCACTGACTTGCCTCCTAGTTAATTACAAATTTTGCTTTATCATTATTTACTAAGAGGAAGCTGAGACCCAGCTTCACTTCTTTCTTTTTAGAAATTTTTAGCTACCATAATAGAAACCCTGATCTGGAAACTTTCAGAACTTTATCCTTGGGCCATCACGAATGGAACCATAGCAAAAGAGACCATATTGGAAGGTTTAAGCCACCACTTCAGCACACCTATCCTCTACTAGCTATGGGAGAGAGCTGAAAACACAAGCTTTTTAACAAGATAGGTTATAAAAACTATACAAGTAACAGCTAAAAATAAAGAGCTTTGCAAAAAATTCAATAAACAGTATCTTGGGCTGATCCAGGGGAAGTATTTTTCACTCACCTCTATGAATTAAGGGGCAATTGTTGTCCTCAGTGCACAGCCTGATTAAGGGGTTCTCCAAAGGAATGAGAAGAGAGACAAGAATCCTCTCCCAAACCACACAGACAATCCCTTTGGCTGTTGCTGCAGTAGCCCTTCATGGCAGGTGCACCATCCACCGATTCAACTGCAGCACACACTATTGCACACCTTCTGCACAGGTCCCCGAAGTCATACTCTGTCTTTCCCCACAACTGAATTACACCAGTTCCACTTTATCCAGAGTCATCCAAGGGAAGGAAGGATTTGTTCTTAAGTCCATAAATCTACTCTGCTTTGTGCTCCATAGCGATCAACACAATAGATTACAAATATAATGCAAATTACATTAATTCTTCAAACTAGGTTAAGACTATTATCATACATTACCCTGTGGATTAATCTTTATTTAATGAACTATAAGATCAATGAACTGTATGAGAAAACACTGACTAAAATACTACAAAACTTAACTTCTTAGATCACACTGTATGGTAAATATTCGTAAGTGAATTATATAATCAGCTAATATTTTACCTAAGATTTCAAGAAGTGCAGATAAATACTGCACATGCCTTAATTTTTAAAATTTCACTTATCTTTTATTAATGATTCCATCACTGTTTTTAATTTCTAAAATAAAGTAAAATCTGTTTTAAACTATAGTTTCCGCAATTGCCAAGATATAATCTTTACTCTTTAAACTTGCATGTATATTCCCAAATCAAATACATATTTAGTAATCAAGCTGCTTATGGAAGTGTACAGTGTTATGACTTACGATTACATCTTTTCTGCACAAATCTCAGTTTGCAGGCAGTCCGATATGTTGAAAGTCTGATGACATCAAAATTCTGAGCCCCTATAAATCAAAATGAAAAAACCCTATTTACTTTTCAACCTTTTTTCTTTAACATTCAGTTCATGTGGTAAAATATTTCCCTCAAGTACATTATTGCCTGGTGCTAGTTAATCAAATCTAAACCTTTGTCATTTTTCAACTGTGAACTCCTCAAGGTATAGAAATTTAGTATGTACGACGCTTAAGAAATGTTAGAAAAAGCACAGTATAAACTGATGCAAGTTTGGGACAGCTATATTATTTCCAACTGGCAAATTCATACATGTATTATGAAAATAAGCCCAAGTGACTAATAGTAGAGACTTTCTACTGCCACAAACACTTATTTGTTCATGCCACTTTTGAAAGAGTTTTGAGATTAAAGTCATTTGACTTTACAATGTGAGGCAATAGATATATATATATTTTAAATTGATTAGTTTATGCCAGCTTCAGAGACAAAACAATTGGAAAAAATGGTTACTTGGTACCTGTATAGCAACTGTTCTCCCAGATGGATTGTCCATAGATACATTCCACTGTTGGTGTATGTGCACCCAGTACACTTGAGTCAGCAGGGGAGCAATGATGAGAAGGACAGGGGACCCAGTCTCCCCCCACACATTGGCCCCTGACCAGAGGTAGGTGTCATAACAGCAGAGCCCCTTCCCCACTGGCATAATGGAGAGATGGCCAGGCCAACTCTAAGTGGCATTGCAACCCTGTGCGCCTTATCGCCCACCCCCGCATTTGCAGTCCTTCTGACTCCCATGGGCACCCCAACCCCCAGTCCCGAGGAGGGTGGGAGAATTGGATCTGGGCTTTTGGCACCTACTGGGGAAGTGGAGACAGGAGGATGCGGTCTGGGTGTCCCAGAACTGCCTGGCCCCTGGTGGGTATGGTGCTCTCCATCCTGACCACCTCTCTGGATAAGAGCCCAGGACTGGCTGTGGGATAGGGAGATTGCAGGGATGGGTGCAGGAGGCGAGCTCGGAGCTGGGTGTGGGGCTATGTTGGGGAAAAGAGTACAGGGCTGGATGTGCAGGGGGAGAGTGTAGGGCTGGGTGCAAAGGCAGCATCAGGTAGCTCAGGACTGGGCATAGGGGACAGCTGTCAGAGAGCTCAAGGCTGGGTGTGGGAATAGCGGGGGTTGGGAAGGGATCAGTGTGCAGCACTAGGAGCAGAGCAACAGAGAGAGAACTCTGGGACCCCTCCTTAGGAAAATTCTGGTTGTGCCAGAAATTTTTAGTAACAGTAGTGTTGGAGCAGTGCACATGCCCTGCCTGTCATGTCTGTAATGGAGGGCTTAAAGGGTGGGATTACCTCAGCTCCTTCATACCACAAACTTGGTAACAACTCAAGCAGTGGGGTACGAGGGAGGGTGTGGAATATATATGTGCACAACACATTCTGAAGAACAGTTACTGTACGGATAACACTTTTTTTCCTCCTTCAAAGGATTGTGCATATATACTAGCAGTTCTTATTTCAGGTGGTGGAGTCCACTGGAACAAGGACTGCAAAACTGATTCACCAAAATCCACAACCAACCTGGGATGCCTGAGTAACAGTGCAGTGTCTTGAAAAGGTATGTACTGATGACCATGTAAGCAGCTTTGTCCACATCCAGGATGGGCACTTTACTGAGAAAGTAGCTTGAAACCTGGTATAATGGGCATTAGAACATAAGAAGGGCCATACTGGGTCAATACAAAGGTCCATCAAGCCCAGTATCCTGTCCTCTGACAGTGGCCAATGGCAGGTGCCCCAAAGGGAATGAACAGACAGGTTATCATCAAGTGATCCATCCCCTGTTGTCCATTCCCAGCTTCTGGCAAACAGAGACTAGGGACACCATTCCTGCCCATCCTGGCTAATAGCCATTGATGGACCTATCCTCCATGAATCTATCTAGCTCCCTTTTGAACCCCATTATAGTACTGGCCTTCACAACACCCGCTGGAAAGGAGTTCCAGAGGTTGACAGTGCGTTGCGTGAAAAAATACTTTCTTATGTTTGTTTTAAACCTGCTGCCTATTAACGTCATTTGGTGGCCCCTTGTTCTTGTATTATGAGAAGGAGTAAATAACACTTCCTTATTTACTTTCTCTATACCACTCATGATTTTATAGACCTCTATCATAGCCCCCCTTAGTCGCCACTTTTCCAAGCTGAAAAGTCCCAGTCTTATTAATCTCTCCTCATACGGAAACCGTTCTATACCCCTAATCATTTTTGTTGCCCTTTTCTGAACCTTTTCCAATTCCAGTATATCTTTTTTGAGATGGGGCGACCACATCTGCATGCAGTATTCAAGGTGTGAGCGTACCATGGATTTATATAGAGGCAATATGATATTTTCTGTCTTATTATCTATCCCTTTCTTGATGATTCCCAACATTCTGTTCGCTTTTCTGACTGCCGCTGCACATTGAATGGATCTTTTCAGAGAACTATCCACAATGACTCCAAGATCTCTTTCTTGAGATGTAACAGCTAATTTAGACCCCATCATTTTATATGTATAGCTGTGATTATGTTTTCCAATGTGCATTACTTTGCATTTATCAACATTAAATTTCATCTGCTATTTTGTTACCCAGTCACCCAGTTTTGTGAGATCCTTTTGTAGCTCTTCGCAGTCTGCCTGGGACTTAACTATCTTGAATAGTTTTGTACCATCTGCAAGTTTTGCCACCTCACTGTTTATCCCTTTTTCCAGATCATTTATGAATATGTTGAATAGGACTGGGTCCAGTACAGTTCCCTGGGGGACACCACTATTTACCTCTCTCCATTCTGAAAACTGACCATTTATTCCTACCCTTTGTTTCCTGTCTTTTAACCAGTTGCCAATCCATGAGAGAACCTTCCCTCTTATCCCATGACTGCTTATTTTGCTTAAGAGCCTTTGGTGAGGGACCTTGTCAAAGGCTTTCTGAAAATCTAAATACACTATATCCACTGGATCTCCTTTGTCCGCATGCTTGTTGACCCCCTCAAAGAATTCTAGTAGATTGGTGAGGCATGATTTCCCTTTACGAAAACCATGTTGACTATTTCCCAACAAATTATGTTCATCTATGTGTCTGACAATTTTGTTCTTTACGATAGTTTCAACCAATTTGCCCGGTACTGAAGTGAGGCTTACTGACCTGTAGTTGTCAGTGTCACCTCTGGAGCCCTTTTTAAAAACTGGCGTCACATTAGCTATCCTCCAGTCATTTGGTACAGAAGCTGATTTAAATGATAGTTTACAGATGACCGTTAGTAGTCCTGCAATTTCACATTTGAGTTCCTTCAGAACTCTTGGGTGAATACCATCAGGTGCTGGAGACTTATTACTGTTGAGTTTATCAATTTGTTCCAAAATCTCCTCTAATGACACCTCAATTTGGGACAGTTCCTCAGATCTGTCACCCAAAAAGAATGGCTCAGGTTTGGGAATCTCCCTCATGTACTCAACAGTGAAGACCGATGCAAAGAATTCATTTAGTTTCTCTCTCACAGGAGTTGTTAGATAAATCATAGCAAGTCCTTATACAAAATGAAATCCGCTGAGATTCATTGAGCAGAGCTGCCTTCCCTTTCATTCTTTTGCATAGGTCATGCTCCAAATTGTCTCATACTACTGATATAAAAGGACAGAGCTCTGCAAACATCCAGAGAATGAAGTCTCTCCCCATGATTGTGTGAATGATGTTTCAGGAGGAAAAATTGGCAAGCAGACAGATTGGTTTTAGTGAAAATCCAAAACGATTTTCAACACACTTTGAACGCAGCCTCAAAGAGACTTTGTCCTTGTGGAGAATCATGTCAGGTGGGTCCGCCATAAGAGTCTGCAACTCAAACTCTCCTGACAGATATTATCATCACCAAAGAATCACTATTTTCGCCAATAGGTGAAAGAGAGAGCAAGAAGCCATTGGCTCAAAAGGGGGGCCCATAAACCACAACAGGAGAACATTGAGATCCAAGGCAGAACTGGATCCCAAATAAGTGGGTAAATTCTGATAAGCTCTTTGAGAAACATGACCACCCTGGGATGTGAAAAAACAAACAAACAAGGTACCCACTTTTAGCACACAAAAGCTTATGCCCAAATAAATTTGTTAGTCTTTAAGGGTACGTCTATACCCAGCCGCTAGTTCGGCGGCTGGCAATCGAACTTCTGGGTTCGACTTATCGCGTCTTGTCTGGACGCAATAAGTCGAACCCGGAAGTGCTCGCCGTCGACTGCGGTACTCCTGCTCGGCGAGAGGAGTACCGCGGAGTCGACGGGGGAGCCTGCCTGCCGCGTCTGGACCGAGGTAAGATCGAACTAAGGTACTTCGAACTTCAGCTACGTGAATAGTTGCGTACCTTAGTTTGATTTGGGGGGGTAAGTGTAGACCAAGCCTAAGATGCCACAAGGACTCCTCGTTGTTTTTGCTAATACAGACTAACGCGGCTACCGCTCTGAAGCTCTATCAAGAAGCAGTAAACAGAATCAGAGTAGGGCTGAATCACCTTTCCAACAGGAGTTCTCTGGACTTCTTAGTTAGAGATAAGGACCTGCAAATTGAACATTTGTCCTTTGCCTAAACAAAAGAAACAAACAATGCCTATTATTAGAAGGCAACGTATCTCTGCAGGAGCCCTGCAGTTTAAAGCCTGGACACTTCTGCATATTTACAGCAGTGTAAACTCCAGAAAGGCATTAAAATAAGAGATCCTTCTAAGGGATAAACTACCGCTAAGCTAACACTAATGAACTATTTACAATAAGAATTTAACCACACTAGCTAGCTAGAAAGAAACTATATCTCCAAGAGACACAGGGAGCTCTGATTCTCATCACAGGCAGTAAGAAGGAATTGCGAGGGAGTCATAGCGGCCCCGCCCTTCATGCCATCAACTGCAAGCACGAAGACACATATGGCACATGCAACTACTCCAACAGTACTGCTGCCCAAAGCCTCTCACTCAAGTGCACTGGGCAGACCCACCAACTGCAGAATGTATAAGTGCACAACCACTTG